CTCTGACACTGTCTGGATCAAAGGCAGAAGCCAGCAGGGATTCCTCATCCGTTTGGATGGGCTGTTTCTCTACAAAAGGGCAAGCGGAGAGGGGTTGCTCCGTCTGCTCATCTCCTGCTGTAAGTGAAATTTTAGTGTCTCTCAATTAGTAACCATTACAAAAACAACAGCAACAACAACAAAAAACCCAAAACAAAACAAGAAAATGCATTCCTTAGGGCAAGCCTTGACTGAAAGGAAGAACTCAACAGGATCATCCTGTGTTAAAGATTAGACAATATCAAAACATAATTTGCCCTGTCGTGAAGAATTTGCTTTCTCCCTCTGCATCCACTTGGCTGTTACAATACCATTTGACTATCACCTTGACCCGTAACACCTCAGACTTCATCTGGCCTTGCAAGAGCTGCTGTTCTAAAGATGATCTTTGTGTTGCACCTTTCGCAATATGGTAATAAACAAATTGCCCTTGGGGCTGAAACTCAGCCAGCAGAATACCTGCTGGGTCAGTCTGGGGTTTACTGTCTTGAGAAGTAAACACCCAAACTCATGTTTGATGTATCTGACTTGGAATTAATCCCTTTATTTCTACTGAGGCCAGGCTGACCCTTGATCAGAGGAGCTCTGTTTTTTAGGCTTTGCCTTTCTCTTCAGAGACTCAGCTTTGACTGACTTCCAGAAACCTGATTTTCAAGAAAGGAAAATTTTTGACTAATGGCATCTTAACAGATTGTACTTTGATCCTCTTGTAACACAAGTCCCTCTGACAGCATTCAGGTGATGGTTCCATGGTTGAAATCATCTGCAAGGCTGGCCTGTCTTTCTGTCCATGAGTTTTTCCCTTTACCCAGCAAAGCAGAAAGTGGAGTTCTCTGCCCCTTTATCTCTCACCCCTCCAGCATCCCTGGTTCAAAGCATTTCAGCAGCACAGGGATTGTGCTCCTGTCTCCCTTCTTCCCTCCTGACTGTGTGTACCCTTCCATGAGCTGATTTAACTCACTGAGCTTGCACAAAACTAACACAATATGGAAAAAAGAAAATAAATGTAGGAGAAGGTTTGTAGCTGGGTCAGTGAATGGCATCTGCACAGCAAAGGCTTGGATGAATTCCCACGACACATGAGAGAGAGATTAGGTCACAGAGGTGGGGACAAGAAGGGATGAGCAGCCAAAAATGTGTGCAGATTTGCCCTGACACCATGGCTGTACAATCATACATTTGGCATAGAGCCCCCCCAGATCCTCCATTTGACAGACCTACACCCCATCCCTGTTGTACCTCCTGCTCCCTGGCAATAAATACGTGCACAGAAATGTGAGCTATGGGGCTCAATGTGATCTCAGCGTAGGCTCCATGCTACCCCTGAACCTTGCTTCCATCAGCCACACCATCTGATCATCACCATGCTTCTTGGAAGCATCTTCATCTGAGCAAATGGGGTCTGAAGATAGTGTCAAGTGGTGGTGCAGGATAACATAGGCCAGGGGTATTGGAGATGAGTACATTCTTGGGATTTGGGGAAAAAAAAAAAAAAAAAAAAAAGAGTTTAGGCTTATAGACATGAGGTGTGCTGTGACACAGGGCCAGAGGACCGGACCCAGCCCTTGTATTTAGCAGTACAGACATAAACAGGGACTTCCAAGACTCAGAAGTGGCCCAGACAAGCTGAGATACAACACAGTTGCCGTCTACTTACCCGCTTTCTGGTTTGTTGCTTGCAGGGACAGTGAAATGGTTAAGCCAAGCCATTTCCCCTATGTCCAAGTCGAGGAAGGTGTTGAGCTAGGCAGGACTAGTCAGCATAGCCCACCTCTCCAACCCTAGCAAAGTGCAGAACAAACGAACGTTCAGAGCCCAAAGGTGTTTGGCATCTTTGAGTCTTTCCACTATAACAACCTCGAGTAACAAACCATCTGTCAGATAAGGGTAGCTCATCAATAGGAGTCTTGGCCTCTCCAAGAAGACCTCCTCCTAAGTCAGTGTCTGGGGCAAGGGCTGGAGACAGGAGTTGCTGTCTCAGCACGCAAGGCAGGTTGGTTATCTTGGTTTTCACATGGCTTCCCTGTTGCTAATCAGGGTTCCTCCTTGTTATCTTTACTTTAGTCTCCCTTCCCCTCTCTCCAAACATTTTCATGTGTTTTATCTGTTTGCTCTTGCCACAATGAGAGCAAGAAGCAGCATCTGTAAAGACAGGTTTAAAAGTCACTGGGTGTCCTTAGAAAACCTTCTCTTCCCTTCACTGAACTTTGGCTTGGGACCTAAACGGAGGGAGGGGCGAGGGGGCGTGTTTCTGTGTATTTTAACAGAAAAGTGAGTGGTATGCAAAACCTGGCTCATGCTTGCCACACGTTAAAGGATGAGGCACTTTGTAAGGAGCAGCAGATAGCAGGGAGGTACCACCTCTCGGTCACATAGCAGAGGACAAACGATCAATTAACTGAGACTCAGTGGGGCCTTGAGGGATTCTGTCACTGTTTAAACCCACTAGAAAGCCATTTAATGATCATCTTACTGCCTTGATTTATTCACCTGGTTTACACGCCTTGAGCGCACAGGGGATTGCAGCACCCCAGGAGAGCCCTGGGCCCATCCTGTGCACTAACCACAGGAATGGTGCTGGTAGTAGACACAGAGTGGGACATTTCTTAGCTCCAGAGGGAAAAGGAGGGTTTCAGAAGCTGGAAGCACCCTGGCCATGCTCTACCCAGGAAGGATGGGACAGCTGGACCTGGTTTGTGCTATTCCCCTGCTCCATCTCCCCATCATGATGGCAGCCTGTTCTGTCATTTCTACTGCTACCTTTGGCCTTTCTTTCACAAGGCCAGAGAGAAGGAAATCAACATTTTTGACCAACCTGGAAGGCACATGGGGCTGCATTCAGACCACTCCATGCAGGCACAGGAAAGCCCACCAGAAGACAAGGCTGACTGGCTCATGCACAGGCTCCCTTTGCACCCAGAGCACCCAGACCATGTTACTGCCATTTCCCTTATCTGCAAGACCTGAGAATGGTCTGTAACCCACTTTCTTTGGTGACAAAATGGGGCCAAGGGCTCCTGACACTGCTCAGCCTTAGGCTGACTTGCAGAGTAATTAATTAATTGATCTTGTGAATTAAAGCATGTTAGGCAATGCCTGATCCCCTCCAAGGAGCAAACAGCCAGTAGCCTCTTTTACTTTGCAAAGATACGAATCAAATTCTAAATGTCAGTGAAGCCACTGAACTGATTTCCATGAACTTTACATGCTATTTCCATCTATCCCGCTTTAACTGCTTAAAGCCCTGACTCACCTCAACATTACCTTGACTTTCTTCTTGACTTCTACATCCCAAACTACTTCTCCTTTCAGACATTGAGTAATCAGAGCTGAAATCGCTTTGAGACACCATCTATTGTGAGTGAATGCAAGGAAATGACCTGTTTCTCTGGGTGACACTTGAAAAGTAAGATCAATAAAGCAACATTATGTAATGTATCTATTTCATGGTTAGTAATTTCACTCAGCTCAATAAAAATACAGGAAAAAAAAAAAAAAGAGGAGGGAGCTGATAAGAGTAGGAACTGCTAAGAGATGATCAACATACAGATATTCAAAAGGTAGAATTTCTGGTTTATCAAGAGCCACCAGCTTATGAAGCCTTTTAACCTTTCAGAATTTATATCCCCCGAAGTTTTCTCTGAGTTTGTGTTTTCTTCCAGTGCCCTCAAGGTTACATTCACTGAATTTCTTGCTCTAAAATCGCCTCTTCGGTAAGGAGAGGAGACCAGGAGTTGAGATTTAGCTCTCCCATTGACTTTTGCTGTGCTTTCAGGCATTTCTTGCTCTGTCTGTGCAGCAAATGCACAGAGGACTTGTGGGCAGTGAAGGCAGACTCTGTTCATTTGGAAACGTGGTTTATTTTTACTGTTCTTCCCAGAAAAGGATAAAAGAGAGAGAGAGAGAGAGAGAGAGAGAGAGATGGCTCTATAGGCACTGGGGTGGAAACATTTTTCCAGTCTAAATAGCCATGGTTACTGAAACACCAGTAGGTGGTCAGAGGGTCTGATGCGCTGTATCTAATGCAGACGTGGCTTGTTTTCACTGGTGCTAAATTACCAGGACTGTTTACCCAGGCTAACCACTGGATAGGGACAAAGCAGGGTAGAGTTGACTTCCCCTTCTCTGCTTCAGATGTCAGCCATGGGTGTTCGTGCATCTCAGAGCTGCCCCATTTCCTCAAAAGAGCATCCTTCCCCAGACCATCTGTGAGTGTGCACCCCACAGAACCTGGGTGGGCCTTGAGGTCTTATTTCCTCAGCTGCTGAAGACACAGGGTTTGGTACAAAACTGTTATGTGTGTGTGTGTATCCAAGTGAGCGTGTGGGTATAACTGTACAGCTCTGACTCACACCATAGCATTGTTAAACAGGCTCGGAGCATCCCACCAGCTTCATCTCCAATTCATTTCCCACCGTGTCTGGTGTTCCTCTGTCAGGCTTTCACCACTACAATGAAGCATGTTCGTTGGGTTATTTTGTTTCAGTCCTGGGATCAGATTTGCTCTGTGATTTGCCTTAACATCATCATAAGAAACCACAAAGCTCAAGGGGCCGGAGTCGTCTGCTGGCGTAAATCAGTGGTGTTTCTCTGGAGTGCAGAAGGGCCAAGAGATTCTCATCTGATGCCAATCAGTGTCACTGCAGGGAAATAAGGAGAGAGCCAGAGGGTAAATTGAAGAAGCCAGACTGACACCTGTTGGTCCTGGTCTCCTGGCCCTGGGTCACACCTGGATGGGAAGGGAGAAGATTCTGCAGACTGAGAGATCTGGGTTGGATGACAAGCCCCCAGTTTCCAGATTCTTCTCCAAACCATGTTCAGCCATGCTTCAGTAGCTTCTTCTGTGGCTGTCTGCCTTGTGCAATGAATGCCTTCTTGAACGCATTTAAACAAGAGCTATTTGGGGTGGGGGATATGAAAGGGGGGGTGTTTCTGGGTACAGTGGTGGTGTGGAAGGATGATAAGCATGCTGACAGGCTGGATTTTTCAAACCACAGGACAAGGATGCATTAATCTGTGGATTTGGGTCCATTCTTAAAGGATGTCAAATCATGATGTCTGAATCTATGAGATTTGAGCAAATTTAGCATCAGTGTTTAAAGCAAACTGTGCAATAGACAATTGCTTTTTTTTTCTCCCCTACCCAAATTTTTATGCTGATTTTGCATTTGCCTCCCTTTGTGTCATTGACAATGTCGGTGTGATCAACAAATGGAACTTTAAGTGCCTTTTGCAGTGCCTTTTGGTTTTTTGTAGGACTGGAAGTAGGAAATTAAGCCATTCAAAGTTACAGCTAATGTGTATTCCTAATTTACTCTGTCATCAACAAAAGATGACTCAGGTTTATGGAGGAACAGGAGGAGGGGAGAGTGCTTCAGCTGGTGCAAATGGAACAGAGTCAGTCCTTGTTTTGCATCTGGGTAAGGATCTGGCCCTGGTTCTGTGCCAACAAGTCTGAATACAAAGAGGATCTCTGTAGGGGTCAATGCGGGCATGTGCCTGCCTGACCTGACTCAGCGCTTCCTAGGGCGATACGGGCTCTGAGTTACCCAGATAAGCAGAACAATGGCCAAGCCAAAGGGTGAACTGACTGCCATCCCATGAAGGGAGCTGGGTGGAGGAGAGGCCTGAGGTGGAGCAGGAGCAGACAACCCAGGCAGATCCCTGCATCTTTCCGTTTACCAGTTTTCCTGTTTCTGCGGACACGGAGGTGAATCGCCCATCCCTCCTGTAATTGCAGTGCAGCCACATCTGCTGTGCAATAACCATCAGTGTTGTCACTGGGAGCAGGCGTGGGTGAGGGTCCATAGGGTGTGCACAGAGACCCAGCAGACACGGGCATGCAACTCCTTTCCAAGCCTGGGGTCTAACTCCCTTCTGCTCTGCTGACAGTGCCAGCCTTCATTATCAGCACTGTTAGTCCTCAAGAAGAATCAGTTATGCCCTGTCTCCCTGCTGTGGCAGTAGCTTTTGCTTCTTTTCTGGTTTTTCTTAGTCAACCCTTTCCCCTTTGTCTCTTGATAGCACCACTGTTCCTTACCCTACTGCTGGCCCTAAGCCCCCAGCTTTCAAAACAGACACCTAAAATGAAGTGGAAGGGAAGAATACTCCATTGGGAAATACTTTCTTAGTGTTCAGAGTTATCGCCCCATAGAAAGTAGACCGGCAAAGATCTGTAGTTCATGCTTCCAAAAGCATTAGGTTAGGAAGCATGTGTTTCCCAGAAAGCCTGAAGGGCAATCCAAAGCAGAATGAAATGGGAAGAGAAGGCTGTCCGACCCATAAAATCCCAGTATTTTGTGTCTCCTCTTCCAGCCTTATTGCTGCAAGGTTGAGGAAAAGGAGTGTGATGGACACTGTGACTGGTCACACACCTCCTACAAATCACCTCTTCATGACTGGAAACATGGTGCTCAAGAAGGTAAAGCTGATATCTTGGGCTTGTTGGGGTACAAAGAGGATATTTCTAGTGAAGATAGGTCATGAGATGGCAAGAGATTAGACCATTCTGGGGAGGGTCCAAGGCCTTAACTTAAAGCCTTGGGTTGGTACTTGAACCCTGGAAGAGCGCAGGGGTATGTACAAACATACAGGGAGGGCTGGCAATGCTTTGATGGGCCAAGAGGCTGTTGACCTGGCCAAGGGAGAAGCATTGAGAACCAGGGCTCTTCCTCCAATCCAGGGAGAAGGATGGACAAGAGAAGATAGATGAGACTTTGGCACTGCCTCAAGTAGCTCCCAGGTGACAGGGCTTTGCCCTTACTCATAAGAAAAAATAGGTAGGGCAGGGATGAAATGCTGTCCTGCAATCCTCTATCCTGTTTTACTGCCAGCACGCTCCCTGGCACTGCTTTAGCTCTTACAAGCCTTCACCACCCCAGATAATATTTAGGCACATTTCAGGTGCACTGGGGGCTGTAGGAGGTGGTTTAGATGAGGCCACACTGCTTTGGGAAAAAACACTGTAGTCATATGGACGTGGGCATTGTCAAAGGGGACAAGAGAAGAGGACCCAGCTGATTTATCTTCCCACACAGGGTTAGCTGATGCTTGTGGTCCCATGGGAGGGACCCCACCCTGCAACAGGTCACACTCCACAGGTGCCTGGCTAGATGTCTGCTACAGTCACATCCAAGGCAGCAACAGCCCAGAAGCAGTGCTCTTTTGGGACTCCCACCATCATCCACTGCCCAGTACTCTTGGAGCACGGGGATGATTCTGTCCCCACAGGAAGATGCATGGATGCCCCATTGCAATGGGCTCCAGGGTTGATTTAGCCTCTTGCAGTGGGGTGCTACCTGTGCTTTTCACTCCAGGGACCTTATTTCTCCCTCCTCTCCATCTCCTGATGAGGCAGCCACCACAGATTTTCTCCCCACTGTGCCTTCCCCTTGTCTCTGAGGCCACGGCTGCTCTCAGCTCCAGGTGAGCAGCATGTCAAGCCCTCCAGTGTCTCCCCTCCATGCCCAGCAAAAGGAGGAGATGATGGGGATGCCAGAACTGTCTGGCTGGAGTTGGGAGGATGTCATGGCCCAGAACTGCCTGCACCACACTGAGAGCTTAATGTGCTGTAATCACAGAGCTGGCCTTGTTGTAACAGCACCCTGACCATGCACAAGATCTCAGCCGCTGCTGGCAGTTCCCGTGCTCCCTGTCCACAGTTGCTGCTGGGTGGTTTTTTTGGAAAGGATACCCCCACCCCAATCCCCGAGCAGAGGCAGATGGGGTCTGCAGGGAGGAGAGGAGAGAGCAGGGAGCAGGGTGGTGTCCCATCTCGGCCACCGATTGTGCTGACCCTCTCGGGTTGTGAATCAGGACATTAATCTGTGTTATGGGGCTTGGGACAGGGTCAGATACCTGTGGTTTGAGGCGTGCTGGCAGGGCTCAGCATTGCTGGAGTCATAATACCACACACTGCTCGTGAAAGAACGGAGCTTCAATGTTCCAGGAGGCATGGTGCTGGGAGGGACAGGGGACAGGCTAGGGAGACGGCTGTGGACAGGGGTGGGAAAGGAAAGGAGGAGGGAAGAGGGGAAAAAATAAAGAGAAAGAAAGGAAAGAAAGGAAAAAAAAGAAAGAAAAAGAAGGGAGGGGGGG